GCTGTTTCCCAGGGTGCTGAGTGGAAGCTTAAGGTTGCGCTCATCTCTTGGTGGTATGTGTGCCAGTGGGATGGATTATTTAGTGGTTGGGTTTGCATTTATCCTGTAATAAGCTGCTTCTTTCCATCTTATTCTGAAGGCCATATTTTCTAGAATGCAAGTGGCAGCCAGTCTGTCTGTGACTTCCAGTGACATGCAATGCTTAACTTAGCAACCATTTGGAGGTGAATAAGCACTACGTTATTATGCATGGAGTCTAGGTTTGGGATGATGTGGAGTAGGTAACACTCCGGTTGAAAGGGTGTAGCGGTCTTAGTAGTGTTTTGATTAATTCCCTCCACCTTTGACCAATATGTTGAAAGTTTGTGACATTCCCAAAATATGTGAACGAAAGAGCCCGTCCCCATCCCCGCATCTCCAACACAGGGATGATGAATTACTGTAGATTTTAGCTAGCTTTAGGGGGACCATATACCATCACATTGAGATCTTGCAGTAAGCCTCCCAATAATAAAGACTACTTGAAACAAAAATATTTGACCTCACACATTGTAGCCAATCGTACAGTCGTACCTCTATACCTAGCTCCTTTTCCCATTGGGCCATATAAGATGGTTTCTCAGGTGCGTTTATGAAAAGGCATTATAGCAAAATGAATGTCTTGGTGAGTGTGTGATTGTTTGTACAACTGAGGCCTAGTGGTGTTATTCATGTTAGCATCTCTGGTTTCAATATATGTGTTTCAATTATATATTTAATTATGTGAATATTTCTCCAGCTGGGAGGGTGAGTTCCTTTTGCAGGATAGGAAATGGTTTGATCCCCTCTGTGTTGCAGAGTAAGCCCACTCTCAATGGCCAATTATCCAGCTGAATTATTTGACCAATTATCCAGCCCAATACCCTGTGATAGGGTGTTCAGGGCACTGAGCGGAGCCATGGACAGGAGGCTGTTGATCCCCATAAGGAGTCTTGTCCACCTCTGCCAACCGGTGGTCAGAAATGTTGCACTTGATAGGCACTGGGATTCCCTACTATTGTGTATATAGAAGGACCACAGCATGTCAATATCTTCTTGCAAAGTAAGCATTGTGCTTTAGGACAATCTTAATTTCTGGCACTTGTGAATCCAAATGACATGTAGCTGTCATCCAGGGCTGGTGCAAGGATTTTTGCCACCCTAGGCAAAGCCTCATTCGGCTGCTCCCATTGACTCCTCCCTAGACTCAGCCCCTTCCTGTATTGTGTGAGGAGGGTGTGCATGGTGGATGAAGTGTATGTGTATAGTGGATGCAGCATGTGTAGTAGATTTAGAGTGTGTGCTTATATAGTGAATGCAGATTGTATGTTTGTGTAATGGATGCAGATGTCTGTTTAATTTATGTAGTGTGTGTAGTGTTTGTGTGTAGTGACTATAGTGTGTAGTGGATGCAGTTTGTATAGTGATTATAGAGTTTGTGAAGTGGATACAGTGTGCATATAGTGTATGCAGAGTGTATGTTTGTGTAATGGATACAGTGTGTGTTTGTGTAGTGAATGCAGAGTGTGTTTATGTAGTGGACTCAGTGCGTAAATTGCAAGATGGCAGTGTGTACATAGTGCAAGGTGTCAGTGTGTATAGGTGGCAGTGTACATAGTGCAAGGTGGTAGAGTGAAGTGAGAAGTGGCAGTGTGTATAGTGCAAGGAGGTACCTGGTTATGAGTCAGGACGAAATGGATGAAAGGGAAGCGGTGCAACATAGCATGTGATGAGAAGGGGCCCAGTCAGCACCATTTTGTCTTACCAGCTGCTTCTCACTGCAACTCTTGCAAGAATGGCCTGCGTTGCCATATTAACCTGTGGCAATGCTCTGACAGCTGCAGGGCTCGGGTTGTTTGGAGTGACGAGCAGCTGTAAAGAGAAGATGGCGCTGGCTGGTCCCCCTGCTGTCACTCCCTGATGGTGGCCCTGATTGGGGGCATCAACTATTTTATTATGAGGTTATGGGGACAGCATCAACATTATTAAACCATCAACACAATAAAGTTAATGCTGTCTCCATAACCTCATAATAACATAGATGATGTCCTTTAATCTCAGGTCTTGAGGTTACGGGACATCATATATTTTATTATGAGGTTATGGGGACAGAATTAACTTTATTTTGAGGTTAGGCCCTAACTACGTTTATGCAGTCTCCCCCTCCAACCTCTAAATAAAGTTGATGCTGTCCCCTAGCCTGTAATTTAAAAATAAATAAAAATAAATAAATAGGTACAATACCTTGTCATTCACCCAACCAATACACCTGATCCCTCTCCTACATGGTATGGCTGGAGCTGGATCAGCAACAGGACAGGGAGCGTCTGCACTCCCCCCTACCCCTCCTCTTTCCCTTTTAATAGATGGAGAAGGGAAAAGCAAGGGGAGGGGAAGTCATGTGAGTGTGTCATATGCATGACCCCCCTACCCTGCATTGGCAGACAGGGCACCAAGCTAAATTGAATTCCAGCACCTCCTTGCAAAATGGAGGAGCTGGAGTGAGTGGGACCACCAAGCTTTAACATGCAGCCTCCTGGCACGTAAACCAGGCGCTGCAATTAGATTTCTTTCCTCTCTCTTCAGTGCCGCGTGCGGCTTGCCAACGCCGTGGCATGTGTACAAGCGGCGCATCCAGTTGGTCAGGCACGGCGCCCCTTCTAAATGTGCTCCCTAAGCTAGCACTTTCTTCACCTATAGGTGGTGCCAGCCCTGCGGTCATCATTTTCTTTGTTTGAAAAGAAGATTGGATAGCATGGTGTGGTTTATTTTTTTTCTTTGACTTGTCCCGTGTGTCTGCTATTTGAAGAACAGTAGATTAAACTATTTCAGATATGTTTTCTGGATTTATTGTATTATGTTCTTTCTCAGTTTCTGTAAGTGCTGAACAACGAGAAGTCTCTGAAAAGTTCCCTGCTTTAACCAGCTGTACAAATTCATGGATGTTTATTGGTAAAAAAAAAAAAAAAAACCACTTGGAAAAATACAGATCTTGCCGCCTGACTGCAAAAGATGCTGTATTTTTTTTTTTTTTTTTTATATATACAGCTCTTAAAAAGAACTTTTGAAGTCAGTCTTGGAGCAAAACAATTTGAACATTTTAAAACAGATCTCAGTAACTCACTGCAGAGGATGTTGTGTTTTACAAAGCCCTTACAAAGATTTTAACATAAATGCCTCAGCCTTAAGGTAAAACAAACACTTTAATACAGATGTCACTGACTGCAAAGGATGCTGTTTTGTTCACAGACAGCTCTTAGAAAGACTTTAACGTGAGTAGGATTTTGGCTCAATACTGAACCTGGCCTACATGTTGCTGTAGATGATGTAGAACTAAAGCTACCATGATGCTCTGCCAGTCTTTAGAATATCAAAGCATCATGGAAGTTGCAGTTCTACAATATCTAGGGATCTTCCATTTGCCCATCCCTGGTATAAAAAAAAGGTACTTGAACTTGGATTTAAAACTATCTTAAAGACATAACTTGGATGCTTGTGGAATATTAGTAACTTTAACAAAAGCGGTTAAAGGACCACTATAGTGCCAGGAAAAAATACTCGTTTTCCTGGCACTATAGTGCCCTGAGGGTGCCCCCTCCCTCAGGGTCCCCTTCCCGCCAGGCTGGATGGAGAGGAAGGGGTTAAACTTACCTCTTTCTCCAGCGCCGGGCGGGGAGCTCTCCTACTCCTCTCTGCCTCCTCTCCTCCTCTTCGGCTGAATGCGCATGTGCGGCAGGAGCTGCGCGCGCATTCAACCAGTCCATAGGAAAGCATTCTCAATGCTTTCCTATGGACGCTGGCATTTTCTCACTGTGAAAATCACAGTGAGTAGCGCGGAAGCACCTCTGGCGGCTGTCAATGAGACAGCCACTAGAGGCTGGATTAACCCATTTATAAACATAACTGTTTCTCTGAAACGGCTATGTTTATAGAAAAAAGGGTTAAGCCTAGCTGGCCCTGGCATCCAGACCACGTCATTAAGCTGAAGTGGTCTGGGTGCCTATAGTGGTCCTTTAAGGAAAATATCACACACAGCAGATTTGTACCCCAGAATAACTCCACTATTTCCCTATGGCTTAGAGAAACACTCTAAATTAGGAATAAAAACATGTATTCCTAATGTTAGTATGTTTTCCTATCTAATAAAATTATTTATTGAACCTCCTCTAACAAGTAAAATAATACGTCCCTCGGGTGCTGGTTTCTGTGCCACCACTGCTCCTCCCCTGGTTGAGATCAATATTACAGATGATCTCAGCCAATCTTATACTTTCACACAGAGAAGAATTGGAGGGCCTAGTATGCATGAGCATCGATCACAGCGATACACCATTCAACATCCCCTCACTAAGATGTATTAGATCAATGCATCTTTATTGGTAGCATTCAGGGTTTTCTTGCACAGTAACTGCTTAGTTTCCTTTCTAGAATCTAAGAATCAATGGCTGCCCAGTAATTAGTTTAAAACATTCAGTAGACATGCCCCTACATGCCACATATCAGGTGCAGGCATAGGGATACGTTAAGCCTTCCTCAATATAATATGGAGTATTATTGACAATAAGAGGCTTTTTACTTATTTTATTTTTTGAACTCGGGTAAATGTATAGCGGATGGATGAATTGCATAGATGAGTTTTCCTCCAAGAAGAAATTCCTTCTTCACTTGCCTTGTTAGAATTGCAATTTGGCCGAAGGTCAGCAAGCTGTGCTAGTAAGTAGCAAAGCATTTTTGTCTGACTTATGAGCATAACATGTTATGTGCTACGTGAGATTTTACAGACAGTAAATTGAACTGTTTATGGTTCTGCATATGATAATATAGACTTGACTTTAGTAAACATCTAATAAACCAAACGTTCTATTCTTAGTTTTTTTCATATGATTTCAGGGTTTTATTGAGTTTGTTTTCTAGACTTTTTCAATGCCTGCCTCTAGATCACTCCCACTTGATATCATTCCATGTATTATGGCACAGGTTTTCTGTTAATGTGTAACTCCTGTAGATATGATGTGGGTGTGAACACATTGCTTTAAATACATGCTACCTGGCTAGTTGCTTTAAAACGCATTTTGTTACTACTGCAAGTGTGAGAATATATCAAAATCAATCATGAAGCTCGCTGTAACCATAACTTTGTTGATGGTTGTTCTTCTTTCCTTGTTTTCAGGTAAGTAAACTGTTCATTTGTATGCTGATATAGTATGACCCTTATGGACTAATATGTCCGAATTAAATGGTAGCATGCTGAAACGTGCTTATTACACTTGGCTAATTAATAGGTAACTGAAAGAAATATTCATGGGGTCCATTCACTGAACGGTGTGCTGTTTTGATTTGAGAACCACCATGCATAATTTAGGCCCTATTAGTCAAAGGAAACAATATACTCAAATCATTTAAACAGAAGATTTATTTAACTTGGCTAATTTAGCCTAACACAACTGGCTTTAAGTTCACCACAGTTTGCTGTTTAGTGAACAGACCAGAGTTATACACATAGTGTAGAATCCTGGATGTTAGGATTTGCAGGTAAGAAATCCTGATTTTAAGTAGAAACAGAATAATACTGATTTGCCAGATTAGCCTTTTGTACATATGAAAATTGCTAATTTGGTTGAACTTTAAATTATGTCAATCTGAACCAGATATGAAATTCAGTGCATAACCTCATAAACTGCACTTCCGAACATGTTAGTAAGTTTTTAGTTGAAACAACATTCTCTGTTTTCAGGATTTAGAATGTTCTGGGCTTCCGTAATAAAAGTTAATTGCACTGCAGGGAAATATGTGAAACTGAAATAAGAAAATCAAATATACTTCCAGTGAGTGTACAAACAATGAAAGATTATATGGTATATATTCTCCTGGGAGACGATTTTCATTAATCTATGTTTAACATATAAAACATTTCATATTTCTTAGTTAATTTAAAATTTTGGCTATGTTGGCCTTCAAATTCACTATGTTTTCAGATTGTATTGAGGCATATTATATGGTTAACACACTTTTTTTTTACTCCTCCTTAATTACAGGATACATAAAGGCTGAAAGAGAGGTAAATGACACACACACACACACACGTATATGTAAACTTGAACTAATCCTTGCTTATTTTAGCTAATTTATGTGTTAAACATTTCAATATAGCCATTTTTACTATAACTATTTTATACTTTCTAGAAAATAGATTCTAAAATTAATTTTTTTTTAAAGAATAATAGTTAATCAGAAAACAATATTTTAAATGAGTCAAATTTTTGTATACGTAACATATTACTGCAATCATCCATTTGCTACAGGTCGTAAACGCAAACAATTCTCCTCTCACATATGCTGTTATTCTCCCGATAATTTATTCTAACTCTCCTCATGTAAGAACATTACTGTATCATTGCATTGTCCAAATGTGTTGTCACCAATTTACCACCATAAATAATCTCACAAGTTATAGCACTGTCCAATACTATTCCTCATATTTTGTTGTACTGTCAAAAATAGAATATGACATACAAGATTCAGCATACTCACTCAGTAAACATCAACTTCCAAGTTCACAACGATCTAACATTGCATAAGTCTGCCACAATTTCAATGTACATGTACCCCATTTTTGGTTGGACATATTCTAGCAACTACATATATATATATATATGTATATACATATATATATATATATATATATATATATATATGTATATGTATATACACACACACACACATACATACATACATTTGACCACAAATGCCACTTTGTTCAAAAATTGTACACTGCTAAATTGTCCAAAACTGTCATATTGTTCAGAAAAAAAAATTGCTCAGAAATGCAGCAATGGCTATATAGTGCTGCAACATTGTACTGAAGTAAAAAGGTTACACAAACCATCATGACCACTTTTGCTTTTAGAAATGATAGTGGAGGTGGAAGTTTGAATGTGCATTGTTTCTGCGTGAAACGCTGCACACATAGAATAGTCTGCTGTTTTGTGCCGTTAGTTACACTCCTGGCACATGTGACTTAGGTAGCCAGGAACTCTGTTCCATACTGTCAGATGTGAATATTTATTTACAGTGTGTGTATATAATGAATGCAGTGTGTGTGTGTATGAATGCAGTGTGTGTGTGTGTGTGTGTGTGAATGCAGTGTGTGTGTATATAATGCAGTGTGTTTGTATGAATGCGGTGTGTATGTGTGTGTGAATGAGTGCAGTGTGTGTGTATGAATGCAGTGTGTGTGTATATAATTCATATAAACGAGTGTGTGTGTGTGTATGAATGCAGTGTGTGTATGAATGCAGTGTGTGTATGAGTGCAGTGTGTGTGTGTGTGCGCAGTGTGTGTGTGTGTATGAATGCAGTGTGTGTGTGTGTGATGCAGAGCCTTGGTGGAGGGTGGGCATTTTTATTAATTGTTTTAATTATTTTTATTATGTTATTAATATTTTTAATTTATTTTAATATTATTTAATTTTTTATGTATGTTTTTTTGTCCCCCCTCTCTGCTTGATGGGCTGTGCAGTGGGGGGGGCTGGCAGAGAGCTGTAACTTACCTTTCCTGCAGCTCCTGTCAGCTCCCTTCTCTCTCCTCCGGTTCGGTCAGCTCCCTCTGCAAGTCTGCCGATATGACAGCCGCGCGGGGCGTTGCCACGGTAACCCGTGGCAACACTCTGACCCCGCTGCTCTTGTGAGACTTGCAGTGGAGCTGACCGGACCGGAGGAGAGAGAAGGGAGCTGACAGGAGCTGACAGGAAAGGTAAGTTACAGCTCTCTGCCAGCCCCCAACAGGACATGCGGGCTTGTAATGAGCCTGGCGGTCCTGGTCTGTATTATGGCAATGTAAGTTGCCATAATACAAACATTGACTCGAGTATAAGACGACTGGGGGGTTTTCAGCACAAAAATGTGCTGAAAAATTCGACTTATACTCGAGGATATACGATATGTCTGTCCTTAATGCTTGTGACAGATGTTTAAAAAAAAATCCCATCATTACCCACTTCCCCCTCCCCTTGTTGGCACAGAGTCCACACATGCGCTCTTAGCCGTTGGAACAGAATAGACTGCACAAGGCCTTTGGTGAAATGATATAACAATGTGAAATGTGTTGCCAGGAGCTTCACCAGGTGCTGGATTCCAGTTTAGTACATTACTGTTTATTGCTGCATGGAGGAAACTAGTTGGCAGGCTGGTATCCTCCATACAGCAATAGGAAGCACAAACAAACACACAATGAGAATCACAGAGGACAGAATGACAGGGAGATGTAGTCAGGAACAAAAAACTCACAACAACATTGATATCCACAACAGAATTCAAGCTTCTGCTCACATGAAAATAAACAATCCCATTCCTAAATTGAATTAAAAATACTGTGGACAATCGAAAATACAACTGTTTTTGAATAAATCTGTTGCCTCTTACTTACAGATTTGTATATCAGAATCAGAAAATGTAATAAAAATGACTACAAAATATTTATTTTGTAACAGTCTAACAATAGACTGCATTGTAATGCTTTGTTTGTCTTTAGCCAACCTGTGATGGAGCTGCACATGGCTGCCCAAGAAATTATGATCCAGTTTGTGGTACTGATGGAAAAACATATTCAAATGAATGTTTGCTTTGTGTAGAAAATCTGTAAGTACAAATTCATAAAATTTCAATATTTTAATTACACTGTGCTTTGCCAACTCACAGCACAAGATAAATATAATTAACCAGATGGATAGATATAGATACAGTGGTGTATTCTGGTTTTGTGCTGCCTTAGGCATGACCAAACTAAGACACCCCCCCCCCTTCTAAATTTCACTTCCTATTAAAAACCAACATGCTCTTTACCTGACAGACACTCTAATGCATACACTGACAAACACTCACTGACAGATACACAGTCATTGTCACACACACTATTTAAGCAACACACACTTTCACTGACAGACAGACACGCACACTCACATTAACCAACAGACACACACATTCACTGAGAGATACACATACACACTGACAGATACACAGTCATTGTCACACACACTATTTAAGCAACACACACTCACTGACAGACAGACACGCACACTCACATTAACCAACAGACACACACATTCACTGAGAGATACACATACACACTCACTGACAGACACACACAGTGGCGGCTTTAGACTTTGTGAGGCATTAGGCAAAACTCAAATATGAGGCCCCCACTAACAAACAAAGTGGAAAAAAAATAGGGGTTGCATTGTGTGTAAGGTGTGGTAGTTGTATTGAAGGACAAGCTTGCAGCGCTGGATACAGAGAGCTAGTCTCTGTATTCATTGTTCAGACACTTGCAGTGTTGCGGCTTCCTGTGCCGCTGTGTTGTGAGCTATCTGACTGTAGTTATGGCATAACTTTCAAACTAAATTAATTTGCAATAAACAAATTTAATTAGCAATTATGCTAATCATTTACACATGACTTCGGGGTATGATTACATAGATGAATGTCTTCAGTTTGTGACTATGACAAGGTGAGTAAAGGGGTAACTGTGGCAGGGTGAGTGTGACAGGCTGAGGGGGGTAAATGAGACAGAGTTGAGAGGGTGAGTGTGACAGAATGAGGGAGGGTGAGAATGATAGGGGGGCAATTGTGACATGGTTGGAGGAGGGAGTGTGACAGTGTATGGGGAAGTAAGTGTGATAGGATTGGAGGAAGCTAATGTGACAGGCTGCATGTGGCATAGTTGGGGGGTGTATCACAGGGTTGGGGTGAATGTGCCATGTTTAGAGGAGGCAGTGTAACATAATGAGGGGAGGTGAGTGTGACAAGATTAAGAGGGTTAAAGTGGCAGAATTAGATTAATGTGGAAGGGAGAGTGTGACAGGGTTTGGGGTGAGTGTGGCACAGTTGGAGGACAGGAATGGAGGTGCTTATGTGAGTGTGGCAGGATGAAGGGAGTGAGTGGGACAGACTGATAGAGGATGAGTGTGACAGGGTTGGGGACTCTGTGCGACAGTGCAAGAGATGGTGAGTATGACAGGATTGAGAAGGGTTAATGTGATAGGGTAATTATGGTAAAACAAGCAAGTTTGGTATGGTTGGAGGGGGTGAGAGTGACAGTATTAAGAGGATTTAATGTGAGTGTGGCTGGGTGAAGGGGGAGACAGTGTTTGGGAATGGTGATAGTGTATGTGACAGTGGGTGTGGAGAGGTGCTGTGACAGGGTGTGTAGGTGGAGGGGTGACGGGGTGTGGGTGGAGGGTTGACCGGGTGTGTGGGAGAGTGGGGGGCTGTCATCCCACAGCCAGCAAGGTGGGTTGTGACAGGGTTGGGGGGGACTGTGACAGGTTGGCGGGGACTGTGACAGGGTAGGGGGGCTATAACAATATGTGTGGGTGGCTGTGACAGGGTGGGTGTGGGGGCAGTGACATGGTAGGTGGGCTGTGAGAAGGTAAGGGGGCTGGAGGGGCTGTGACATGATGTGGGACAGGCTCCCTTGATAAAGGCATTTTTGGCGAAACGTTGGGGGCTTATTGGTTGACTCTTGTCCTTCTCACTAGGTCTGGTATGCTTTTGTTTTCTTTGTTTTGGGGTTTTTAACAATTGTTTTGGTATCTCATACAGCTATTTTGGATAGCTGTATGGATATTTTGAATTCAGTGATTTGTGCATTATGTAGTCTGCCTATAGGCTACTCTAGAACTTGTAGGTGTTATATTGTACTGTTTATTTGACATTGTATGTCTTTTTCATTCATTGATACAGTTAATGAGATAGCCTATTACTGTGAGCCATTTAATAAAAATATTTTCATATACATTTGTGGTTGTGCCCCTTGTTTAAGCAATAGGTGTAACTCTTTTGGCCTTTAGTAATATGGCCTTATAAGAGTGAGCACCCATGACTAGTTTGTCCATTTTTGTTTGGCTATTTTCTGATTCTTATCAGCACTTCTGAGTGTGCCTACCTGTTTTAATTGTTACATGGTGTGGGTAGTAAAAGACGGTAGTAGAATGAAGGGGCAGTAACAGGGAGTAGGGGTGGTGGAGGGGCAGTGACAAGGCATGTGGAGTGGAGGGGCAGTAACAGGGGGTAGAGGGTAGTAAAAGGGGGTAGGGCAGTGGTGAATCCTGGTTTTGACCTGCCATAAGCAGTTAGTAACAGAGGGTAGGGAGGTAGACAGGGGGTTCATAAATACCTTCCCTGACCTGCCATAAGCAGTTAGTAACAGAGGGTAGGGAGGTAGACAGGGGGTTCATAAATACCTTCCCTGATGGTCCTGTGGGTGCCCTCTCTCCCCAGTAGTCCAGTTCTCTGGTCTGCAACTCTGCCAGGAGTGAGCTGCTGAGCACATGGTAGTCCAGTCAGAGCATTTCTGTGGCAACCCGCTGCAATGCTCTGACAGGCAGGAGATCGCGAGACACTTCAGTCTACAGCTCACTCCTTGCGGAGCTACAGACTGGAGCCTGGCTCTCTCCTGTGCAGACTGACAGGGGCCTCGCACCCAGCGGCATTATGGGCAAGCCACCCGGCCCCCTCCTGTGTCGGGTCCTCGGTCTCTGACATGGTAGTCTGTCCTAAGGCGATTTAGGCGGCCACAATGCCACCATCAGCACGAGGCCTTAGGCACATTGACTGACAGACACACACTCTCAGTGACAAACACGCATACACACACTGACAGACATACACATTAATTAACAGACATACACACTCTCACTGACACACACTCTTTGACAGACACACATACACCCTCACTGACAGACACACACTGACACTCTTACTAACAGACACAGACACACACACACACACACACTCTCACTAAAAGGGATAAACACACACTCTCACTAACATACACTCTCTCACTATCAGACACACACTAACACTCACTAACAAACACACACACACACACACTTTCAATAACAGACACACTAACAAACACACACAAACTAACACACTCACACTTTTTTTTATTATTTGCTTACATTTTGGTGTTGTTTTGGTGGATTCTTCCCTGGGGTCCGGTGGGGCTGGCAGGGCAGTGCAGGTGGTCTGGCAGGCATTCGGAAAGGCATGCGCACAGTTCAGGCGGGCCGCAAGGGAGCTCTGATCTTAGTGCTCAGCTCCCTTGCATGCCTCTTAGTGATTCCAAAGCCTAAGTGACGTCATATTCCGGCTCCTGCATCACTGCAGGGCTCGCGAGGGAGCTGAGCAGGGAAGAGCTCAGGAGAGAGTGCTCCCTTGCTGCCTGCCTCCCACATCAGCGCATACCAGCATCTGGGGGTCCCTTAGTCAGCAATCCCCTGGTCCACAAGGACAAGAGGCTGACATGGCATCTGCCAGGGCATTTGGGATGCAGATTTTTATGCTGCCCCCCTGAAAGTGCCACCCAAGGCAAATGCCTTATCAGCTTCACGGTAAATACACCGCTGGATAGACAGACAGGCACACAGAATATGGCTAACTCGCAGAATAATAAAATAACGTCTAACTTTGACTAAATAAATCCCTATGTTATTAGAGTTTAAGAGTTTTCAGGGGAGCATAGCATTAGTAAGTATTTTAAGGGAGCTCATTACCCAATATTTAGTATTAAAACTAAATTTTTATTTTGTTTTCATAAGATAATTTGTACACAGATAGGGACAAGTGGTCAAGAGCAGGACTTGGAAATATCCCAACTTAATAAGGCAGTGTAAATGAGTAAGTGCCTGAGAAACATATATATTATAGAGCCAACATCATGCAAAGTTTGCAAGAGGAGAGAATGGTAAGTTGTTTTAAAGGTAGTATATATATATCCATGGGGATGGGGAAAAATTTAATTTGATATCTGTGGTTTTATTTGAGAATTGTTTTATGAGGTCAGATAAAATTAAGTGAGATGGAATGTTTGTAGACTGGTCTTTTCAGTAATTTAGAAACTAGGATCAAGAGTAATATATGGTGTTAGCTGGATATATAAATAGGATCTAGAAAAGATTTCATGATGTTGATTTGTAGAAATATGCCAGTGAGAAGAGACACATTAACAATATGTGCTGAAGGTGTTAGAACAGAAGAGTAAAGGAAGAATGTTCACATTAATAAACGTTTTATTATATATTAAATGTCTTATTATATAAAATTATATTATGTGCTAGAAGCTATATCACAGACTGTTTTGTCATTTCCAGTTTGGTAATGTATTCTATTTTACATCTTTAACGATTCTTTATATACACTAATCAGCCAAAACATTAAAAACACCTGTCTAATATCATGCAAGTATCCCTTGTGCTGCCAAAACAGCTCCGATGTGCCAAGGCATGGACTCCACAAGACTTCATGCAGTATCTGGAACCAAGAGATTACCAGCAAATCCTTTAAGTCCTGCAGATTGCATGATTTGTTGTTCAGCACATCACACAGATGCTCAATCGGATTGAGATTTGGGGAATTTGGAAACACTAAATCTAAAATCTTTGTCATGTTCCTCAAACCATTACTGAACAATATTTGCAGTGTGGCAGGATGTATTATGTTGCTGAAAGAGGCTGCTGCCATCAGGGAACAACATTGCACCTTTGCCATGAAGGTGTGTACATGGTCTGCAACAATCTCTAGGTAGGCGGTATGTATTAGAGTAACATCCACATGAGTGCCAGGACCCAAGGTTTCCCAGCAGAACATTGCCAGAGCATAACACTGCCACTGCCGGCCTGCCTTCTTCCCATAGTGCATTCTGCTGCCATCTCTTCCCCGGGTAAACGATGCACATGTACCCTTCCATCCACCTGATATAAAAGAAAACATTATTTATCAGATCTTCCATTGCTCCATTGTCCAGTTCTGATGTTTTCTTCTCCATTGAAGGTACTTTTAACAGTAGAAAGGGCACTCTGAAAAGGCTGAGGCAACTGTGATGCACTGTGCATTCTGACACCTTTGTATCATGGCCCGCATTACGTTTTTCAACAATATGAGCTACAGTCAGTGGCGTACTAAGGAGGCGGTCCGCCCTGGGTGCCAGCAGGGTGGGGAGTGCCTTGGGAGGGGGCGCCGCCAGGAGCGTCGGGCCCCCCTCATGCTGCAGCCGCCCGAGCGCTCTGCAGAGAGCCTTAGGCGGCTTCAGATTTGCCCATCCGGGCGCAGTCTGAGGAGAGGGGCTGACAGGAGGGAAGCGCTCAGCGCTCCCTCCTGTCATTCCCTCCCAGTAGCGTGGCCGAGCCCTCTATTGGTCCGCGGGTACAGGGAGCATCTGTCTCCTGTACCCGGCCAGACTAACAGGAAGTGCACACTGAGTGTTCACTTCCTTTTAGTCCGGCCGGGTACAGGAAACAAAAGGAGAGATTGGGGGGGATAAGAGAGATTGGGGTGATAAGAGAGATGGGGGGATAATGAGATTGGGGGGGATAAGGAGCGATTGGGGAGATAAGGGAGATTGGGAGGGGGAAGGAAATTGGAGAGGGGATAAAGAAAGATTGGGGGGATAAAGAAAGAAATTGGGAGGGGGGAGAAGGAAATTGGGAGGGGGGAGAGAGATTGACATTCATCACACACAATGCACCCCTTGCACACAGAAAAACACACAATGCATTACACACACAGACACAAGCAATGCAACCGTTACACACAATGCATCCCTTACACACACAGAAACACACAATGCATTCATTACACACACTCAATGCACCCCTTACACACACTCAATGCATCCCGTACATACACAGAAACACACCTTGCAGCCCTTACACATACAAGCACAGATTCACACAACGCATTCCTTACACACATATCAGGACATCCCCTACACACTCCACCCCCTGTGAACAAACTCATTGGTGGAACATGAAGGTGGACCCTGGGACCCAGACCTTGAGCTGTGTAAAGGGCCCTGTAACGGATCACCTGGCAACCCGACTGGGTACCTCCGTTGAAAGATGCTCCTAGCGCTTCCAGAGGACTCCAAGCACTCCACCAGACACCATAAGCACCGCAGGCTGCAGCTATCTCCCTTCAGAACGAAGCAGGAACAAGCTCTTACAAGAGCTCAGTGATTATAGCAAGGGAATATGCCTAGCATAGCAATCCCTTGTAGCAGATTCCCCAAATAAGAGACAGGACTCAAGTTGAGGGTAAAAATAGAACTCTCTGGCTGCTAGCTTGCAGCCCTTTTTATTAGGTGCTCCCATGAAGGGGAGGGACACACACAGTAACGTACATTAACCAATCACACAATAGTTACATCCCACACATAGCCCTCCCCTCTACCTGTAAGCTAATTATCTGTACACACAGGGAAATACAATTATCATAGGTAGGGAAAATACAGTTCTTACACAACATTCATAACTCCCAAAATATACATCACATTCGCATAAAAATACATATTCACAATCAATCCATTCAGGGGAACAACATATTAAAAAATGGCATGAATCCGACCAGGGGTTCAAAAGTTAGTAAAAGTATCTTTTGTTCCCCCTGGCTCAAACAGTAAAAGTAAAACATCCCCACAATGCATCCTGGCTTCCTCCCTTCTGCCCTGGAGATAATTGGAGAAGGAATCTAATTATCTCAAAAGACAGAGCCAAACTCCATTACCCACATGGCAGACAAAAAGACAGTAAAAGACATAAAATTACATACTGACACATTTAGTACATAAAACACACATTTCTACATATCCCCAGATAGCTTGGATCTGACTGCACATTATTAGATGAATGGCACTCAGATCACACGAATAAGCCTTTCTGCAGGGAAAATAAACAGTTTAACCTGCGGGGCCATAGTCCAAAGGCAAGAGGCGGGCAAGCAGCCCCCTCCAAGGACACGTGGCGAGGTCGGTTTTGCCACACTTCTCCCCTTTGCCCCCCAGACTAACAGGGTATCTGACCTCCTGCCGGTCAGTGCCCTGGTTAGTCCAGCAACCCACCCACGAAGCACAAACAGCAGTACAACCCACCCACAATAAATGTTTACTCCACCTGGATAAAGTAGCAACTTGTCCATGTCCAGGTGCCTCACCACGGCTGTGTGGGGAGCTGGTAGACTGCCTTGGTGGGTTGCTGAGTGGGCAGAGACCAGCGGTACTCTGCCCTGGTGCCAGCGCTACCACCGAAGTAGCCTGATTGGAGCCTGGTTGTGGGAGGGGGAGACCGACCGTCTCCCCTCTGGGTACACAGCTCTGGGGCTGGGGAACAGGACCGACCGTCTCTACCCCTTGGGCTGTAAGCGCAGAGACTACGGTCCCATCTGCACAGTTGCGGGGCTCAACATCTCCCCTTGGTGGGTTAGGCTGCCGCTGGAGAGAGGGTGTAACAAGCTCCTCTCTCTGGACTGTCAACTGCCGCTGGGGAGAGGGGTTAACAGGCTCCTCTCCCTGACACTCTCTCTGCTGGTGGAGAGGCGGACCAGCTGTCTCCCCTTTCATTATTTTGTCCTGCTGCTGGGGTGTGAGACTGACAGTCTCTGCTCCCTGCAGGACACACTGCCGCTGGGGAGGAAGGACGACACCTTCAGCTCCCTGGGGTACACACTGCCGCTGGGGAGGAAGGACGACACCTTCGGCTCCCTGGGTTACACACTGCTGCTGGGGAGGACGGACGACACCATCAGCTCCCTGGGGTACGCACTGCCGCTGGGGAGGAAGGACGGCACCTTCCGCTGGGGCAGCCTGTAGAAAGTCAGGCTCAGGGGAAGGAAACAAGGGAGGACAGAGGCCAGCGGCGCTCTGCCCAGTTGCCAGCTCTTCTGCTGGGGGTCAGGGAACAAAGGAGTTGGCTGGGGAGGAGAAATATCACTTACCTCCCCCTGGTACTCCGGCTGCTGCTGGGGGGGGAGGTCGATGCTCTCCACTTTCTGTAACTCCAGCTCTAGTTGGGATCTGGGCCGGTTGCCCAGCATCCCTGTAGGGCCGGTGGAGAGATCTCGGTCCCATCTCCACCTGCCTGCAGGGGGTCCTCCCAGGACCAGTCTATGAGGTCCTCTACCTCGGGTACCTCTGGTTGCTGTTGGGGAGGGAGACCGGTTGTCTCTTCCTCCAATAACACATTCTGCCGCTGGGGAGTGAGACCGACTGTCTCCCCTCCCTGTAAAACATACTGCCGCTGGGGATCTGGGCCGGGTGCCCAGCATCCCTGTAGGGCCGGTAGAGAGACCTCGGTCCCATCTCCACCGGCCACCTCGGTTTCTTCCTCGTCCCACTCTACCTGTGGCTGGAGTTTCTCCCAACGTGCCCACTGGCCTTCCCTCAACGCCCTGTGTTGTAGGTTCCGGGTCACCATGTCCCACACGAACCGCACGTATTTCTCCTCTGGATTGGGTCCGTAAAACTTCAGGTGCAACCCTACCATCATGCCAAACTCTAGTACGGAGTAGCTATACGCCATGCTTGCTGTAGCCACTGCTGGTTCCATTATGTTGCTGAAGATAAGGACGCTGCACAACTCCACACGTTACCGGTGTCTCCGAGCTGCTTCTCCTCGCACTAGGATGCCATCCCGCCGCTTGCCACCAATGTAACGGACCGTTTTGCACAAAAAGGGAAAAAACCGTTTAGGCGATCGGCCCCCTTTCCAGAGATCCAGGCACAGCTACTGCAGAACACCAAAACTCACGAACTGGATACAGAATAGCACTCCAACTCCCGAACTGGAACCTCCCAAATAGTTGCTAGCAGACGAACAGGAAAAGCAGACAATCGGCTTACACTCCTGGCAATCAGTCTCTAACAGCATACAGTGAATCCCCCCAAGAACGAGACAAGGCTCCGTGTTGAGGGTCAAGCAGTGGTCTGAGGTGCTGGCACACCCAGCCTGGTTTTTATTACAGTGTTTCAAATACAGGACCACCCACAGGGAGGGATAAAACAACCAATCATATCACAGTTACATCCCACATATTCCCTCCCCTTATCCTGAGAGGAAACTCAATTATACAAACAGTTAAAACATACTTTCTACCCAACTTTCATAACTCCAAAACCATACATCACATTCGCATAAAAATACATATTCACAATCAATCCATTCAGGGGAACAACATATTAAAAAATGGCATGAATCAGACCAGGGGTTCAAAAGTTAGTAAAAGTATCTTTTGTTCCCCCTGGCTCAAACAGTAAAAGTAAAACATCCCCACAATGCATCCTGGCTTCCTCCCTTCTGCCCTGGAGATAATTGGAGAAGGAATCTAATTATCTCCAAAGACAGAGCCAAACTCCATTACCCACATGGCAGACAAAAAGACAGTAAAAGACATAAAATTACATACTGACACATTTAGTACATAAAACACACATTTCTACATATCCCCAGATAGCTTGGATCTGACTGCACATTATTAGATGAATGGCACTCAGATCACACGAATAAGCCTTTCTGCAGGGAAAATAAACAGTTTAACCTGCAGGGCCATAGTCCAAAGGCAAGAGGCGGGCAAGCAGCCCCCTCCAAGGACACGTGGCGAGGTCGGTTTTGCCACAGGCCCCCAAAAAATGGAGCTGTTTCTCGTTCTCCCAGAACATTGATTTTTGTGACCACAGTTACAAACTGCCTCCAGAGAGCCTGTTCTACACCAGACCAGTGGAGCCAGACTGCAGCTAGAGCCCATCATCATCCTCATCTGGTTGTAAGTAGGCAATCTAGTATGTTATTTGTGGCACTAATCTCTAATTTACCTCACATTAAAGAAACACTATAGTCCCCAGAACCCCTGCAGTTTAATGTAATGGTTCTGGTGTCTATAGCCTGTCCCTGCAGGCCTTTTAATGTAAACACGGCGGAACTGCAGCACTGGCGTTAGATAACATGGCAAATCATATGGGTGGGGCATTGTGATGTCACATGGGGGAGACGGCAAACTTTACTTTTGCCTAGGGCGGCAAAAATCCTTGCACCGGCCCTGGCTGGAGGGGGCTGTGTGAGCTGTGGCCGCACAGTGCCCCATGGTAGTTACAGCTCACACAAGCAAACAGCTGATAAACTGGCCGCATCGAGGAAAAGTGGGGCGGAGCTAAGCAAAATCAGAGGCGGGGCCACACTGGCGCTGGGGGCAGGGCTTTTGGGGGGCCCAGGATCCGCCCCGGGTGCCAAATGCTCTAGGTACGCCCCTGGCTACAGTAGCTTTTCTGTGTGATCGAATCAGATGAGCTGGCCTTCGCTCCCTACGTGCAACAATGAGCCTTGGACGCCTATGACCTTGACACTATTTCACTGTTTGTCCTTCCCTGCACCACATTTGGTAGGTACTAATCACTGCATACCATGCACATCCAGCAATACTTGTCGTTTTGGAGATGCACTGACCCAATTGTCTAACCATCATTATTTAGCATTTGTCAAAGTCACTCAGATCTTTTTGGTTGCCCATTTTTCCTGCTTCCAACGCATGAAATTAAAAAGCTGACTTGTTGCCTAATATCCCGCCACCTTCTCATGGAGCCATTTTAATAATATAATTGGTGCTATTCACTTCCCTGTCAGTGGTTTTAATGTTGTGTCTGATCAGTGTATATTGTATATATGTACAATTTATAATGTACAAAAACAAAATGCAATTTTCATAAAATTACCTTGGGCTTTTGCCAAACACCTAATAAGTCTCTAAGATATTCAGATGCATAAAACATGACCTTTTTCAGTTTGTCTCTATCATAGACTATATGTAATACATCAAAAACAGTTTTTATTCACTGAATAAATTGTTGATACTACAAAATTAAAATATAATAAAAATTCTCTTATAGTAGAATCAAATCTTTGATCAGCCTAAAAGGAAAAATATGTCTCTCTATGCTTGCAGATTATCTAGGCCTGGGATGGCCAACTATCAGATTTAATTTATTTAGTGTAAAATATCAGGGTGAAACAATCAATTGAGAGCCAGGGGCAATATAAAGAAATCTGTTGATCAACTGTCCAGTAGAAGACAAAATAGTTGTATATCTAAAAAAATAAAAATACATGGATAGTTTTTCACGTATAATGGTGTATGCACAAATACAGCAAATTATTGCTCATACAAGTTAAAAAATTAATTAAAATGTTTTGTAACATGTTTTACCATTTATCCATATATAAAGAAATATGAACTTTTTAACATGTGGTTTGTGTTCGATTCATAGTGAGTTTTTACAATGTTTTTAAATTACTTTCGTTTTTCTAAACACCTTATTGGTGTTATGAGCAGTTTGTACTCAAATGTGACAGATCCACTTTAACTCATTGTTAAAGTTAATAATCAATTATTATGCTTGCATGGGATGTATGTACACTAATATTATATTTCTATTTGCAGGAAAAAAAATATTCATAGTCGCATCACAAAAAATGGAAAATGCTGAAGACTTTCTTTTTTTTTACTTTATCGATGAAGTCAGAACATCAGCATCTTTAATTCTGGCCCGATTTTGTCTCTGGTGAAGTTATTTGTCTGAAAACAAAATAAATCAAATAAGAAAATCCATTTCACTATAAAGTGGATTTACTTCTAGAAATATACTATTCTGCATAAATTTTAATTAAATACTTAAATAATTCAAGTATACAAAGAACTTCTTCCTTCAGTAGATATTACTAAGAATCGTTCTGTGAATCATGGTTTTCTGGAGGAAATCTATTGACACTGATGTACGGTTACATACAATGAAATATATTCATTTATATTTATATATGTGATTATGTGTGACAAATATAAAGTGACCACTGTAAGATCTGTTGATATATTTTTATAATTCCTTCTTTGGCAAAGCCAGGACATTCATAATGCAAAATATATAGAACATATTATAGGAAAAATAGATGTATGCTACATAATATCTAGATATAACTGAGGATGATAATAAACTATAATTAGCAATTAGCTATAACAAAATAGAGGCATATTCATAGATATAGTACTAGTCAATACCATTGAAATTTGATCATTCGGAAGAGTCCAAATTTCAGAATTCTTTACAAACCAAAAACAAACTAATTGGAAACAAATTAAAACAATTTTCTTCTGATCCATTTGCTTTCATAAGGATAACAAATTAGTGACTTATTACTAAGCAACTGAAATAGCAATATAAAGAACAAGAGCTTTTTCTTTAAAAGCTTCCTAGTTTGGTATTCTTACTTGGGATTGTCATTTTACGTATATTAACTAAGGGGCTATCTACTAAAATGAACAACTCCCTAATTTGTTACCTATTTGTGGGATTACCATTTTTGAGGATATTAAATCCGTGCGCTTTCCTATTTGGTGTGCTTAAATATGGCAATCCAAATATGGCAATCCAATGAACATATAACAAATTGAGGATATTTCTAATGAACTGAATACCAAATTAAGAAGATATAAAGCCCTTTTATTAATTTTGATCTTTTGGCTGTGTTTAGTAGTTATATCTCTAATGTGGTACCCTAATGTAGGATTACTGGTTTTAATGGAAACACATTGGGGAGCTACCTGCTAAATAGGGTTCTAACTAGGTACTCTTTGGAATGATGGGAATAATGACGTCCGAATTTTGTTTGTTTTAATTTTGTCATTTACAAATTTCAGACAAACAGAAATTTGAACATTAACAAATTTTAACTCAGTGATCACAATGGGCTTGTGATGACGTAATGCTGCACGCTACACTCCTACGTTGAATGCAATGCCGAGGAACTACGGGGATCCGCCTTGCAAAACAGATGTCTGAAGCATGGTTAGGAGCGGTGAATTAAAATCTCCCACGTTGAATACAATGCTTAAGTACAACGGAGGTTTACCTCATGGTATTGGCAACTGAAAAGTGGTGAGCGGCAGTGACTACGATGCCCCCATTTTATTAAGAGAAAACCGAGACTTGCAAAACAAGCTGCAAGTAATTAAAAAGGCTAAGGTCACAGAATTACAGCACACACACAAAAAAGTATGATTAAGTACTGACAACTTGAAAAATCTTTGGGTGTGTTCTGTGGTCAGGAGAGAAGCCTGAGAGTAGTATTAGGGGCATATGCAGATGTTTATACTCTGAGTAACCTAGAGGAAGGAAAAATCTCCCATAAAGACAATATTCGGTATAATACAACAGGAATTATTTTTATTATTATTATGATCTTTATAGAGCGCCATCAAATTCCGCAGCACTTTACAATGGGTGGACGAACAGACATGTAGTTGTAACCAGACAAGTTGGACACACAGGAACAGAGGGGTTGAGGGCCCTGCTCAATGAGCTTATATGCTAGAGGGAGTGGGGTAAAATGACACAAAAAAGGTAAGGATAGTATTAGACTAGTGACAGTTGCAGAAGAGGAATCAGTCAGGAGCTATTAACAGTTTAATTGATACGCTTTTATGAAGAAGTGGGTTTTTAACGATTTTTTGAAGGAGTGGAGACTGGGTGAGCATCTAACGGAGGAGAGAAGTGAGTTCCACATGAACAGTGCAGCCCTCGAGAAATCTTGAAGGCGAGCATCGGAGGTGGGAGTACGGACAGAATATAGATGTAAGACTTCAGCAGATCGTAAGAGCCTAGACGGGACATACTTGTGTATAAGGGAGGATAGATAGGTGGGAGCAGCATTATGTAGCGATTTGAAAGCAAGAACCAGAATTTTAAATTGAGCTCTATATTTTATAGGAAGCCAATGTAGGGACTGACAGAAGGGTGAGGCATGGGAGGTGCGGGCGGACAGGAAGATGAGCCTCGCTGCCACATTCATTATGGACTGTAACGGCGCAAGTTGGGAGCACGTAAGACCACTGAGAAGCGGATTACAGTAGTCAAGGCGAGAAAGGACAGTGGAATGGACCAACACCATAGTCGCATCTGGCGTTAAGTAGGGGCAGACGCGCAATGTTTTTGAGATGGAAATGACAGGATTTGGTGATAGATTGAACATGAGGCTTGAAGGAGAGGTCGGAGTCCAATAGAACACCTAGACAGCGAGTCTGCGTGGTGGAGCTGATGGTAGCACTGTTGACTTAGAGGGAGACAGACACAGGAGTAACAACACTTGAGGGAGGAAAGACCAGAATTTCAGTTTTGGTCAAGTTTAGTTTAACCCCTTAAGGACCAAACTTCTGGAATAAAAGGGAATCATGACATGTCACACATGTCATGTGTCCTTAAGGGGTTAAGGAAGTGGGCAGCCATCCAGTTGGAAATAGCAGAGAGGCAGTCAGAGACACTAGTCCTACCAGGGTCTGTTTATTCTAACCTTTCTGAGTTTATCAGGCGATCCTCATCTCCGGCAGGTGCTGGCTTCTTCTTTGAATTGAAGAAAGAGGGTGATCTCAGATCCTGTATAGACTATAGGGATCTGAACAAGATCACGGTGGGGAACGTATATCCAATTCCACTTATCACAGAGCTTTTTGAGTGCCTAAAAGGTTCCAAGTGGTTCCCTAAACTGAATCTCAGGGGGGCGTATAACCTGGTCAGAATAAGAGAACAAGAGGAGTGGAAAATCGCTTTCAACACTCGTGGCGGCAACTATGAGTATTTTGTGATGCCCTTCAAGCCTGTGTAACGCCCCTGTTGTCTTACAGGACTTTATCAATGATGTCTTCTGAGATTATTTGCACGTATGTGCTATAGTGTATCTGGACAACATATTGGTATACTTCCCTGATAAAGAAATATGTCAGCTCAGTACTAAACAAACTGCTAGAAAATGGTCTGTATTGCAAGTTAGAGAAATGCCTCTTCGATCAGACCTCTGTGCAGTTCTTGGGGTACATAATTTCTGGGAAGGGTTTCAGTATGGACCCTAATAAACTGGAAGACATCAAAACTTGGCACTTCCACAGGGACTTAAGGCCATACAAAGGTTCATGGGTTTCTCCTCTGTAGTTGCCCCAATAATCAAGATGACCAAAAAAGGGGTTAATCCCTGTGCTTGAAGTTCTTAAGCTCTTGAGGCTTTTGAAACACTTAAAGAGGCGTTTACATGAGCCCTGTTTTGCGCCACCCTCACCCATCGCTGCCCTTTATTGTCAAAGTCGACGCTTCTGAGTCAGGTGTTGGTGCAATACCCACAACGATCCTCTTCACACATGTTTTTTCTCCAAGAAACTGTCTGATGCAGAGAAAAACTGATGTGGGGAACAAGGAATTACTGGCCATAGTTTGGGCATTTAAAAGTTGGAGACACCTACTGGAAGGTTCCAGACACCCTATCCTGGTGATCTCAGACCACAAGAACCTCTCCTACATAGCCAAGGACAGGTGTCTGTCTTCTCGCCAGGCTAGGTGGTCCTTATTTGTGTCTCAGTATACCATAATATACAGACCTGATTATCGCAATGTTAAGGCAAATGCTATATCCAGGCAACACGAACCACTGGAGATCAACCCTTTCCCTCCAGAACCTATAGTCCCTTCCGCCAACATTATTGTAGCTACACACTTGGTTATCCCTTCCCTCTTTTTAAATAAGGTGAATAGATATCAAAGTCAAGCACCACCTGAAACACCTACAGGTTTATTGTTTGTACAGGGACGGGACAGAAAAAAAGTAATGACATTGTTTCATAGGTCCAAAACAGTGGAACACCCAGGCATCACAAAAATATATGCTAACATAAGTCTCCCACAAGCAAGCCACCAGGTCTCCTTATGCCCCTCTCAGTACCCAAGATGCCTTGGACGCACCTGTCCATGAACTTTATAGTGGACCTTCCCCCCTATGAGGGTTACATGGTCATTCTGATGGTGACCAATAGGTTCTCTAAGATGGCTCACTTTGTTCTGCTAAAGAAGCTTCCTTCTGCTGCGCAATTAGCGGAGGTCTTCGCAAAATAAGTATTCCAACCTCATGGCATACCCGTCAATATTGTCACTGACTAGGGCCCCCAGTTCATCTCACATTTCTGGAGGGTTTTCTGTACTGAAATGGGTATATACCTCTGTGTCCCGTCCATGAAGTTGGCACCGAAATATATTGGGCTTTATCAAGTCTTGCACAGGGTTAATCCTGTCTCTTACACTCTGGACTTGCCTGTCCTTCCCAATATGTCCCTTTCACACGTCCCTTCTGAAGTCCCTCCTATGTAACCGGTATTCAAGGCCTGTTAGACGCCCCGGCCCTGTCGGTGCCAACTCCGGAGGAGCGTCCCTGGGTATCTGCCTCTGATTTGAACACCCTTCATCTTGTTAGGCCCATCCATGCTCATTTTCCCTTGAAGCCTTTGGCTTCCCGCCATCCTGGCAGTCGTCGTCGGGGGGGGCTTCTAAAAAAGACTGGACATACCCCATTTGCAATACCTTGGGTTGTCTACCATTGCAAATGGTATGCAATCAGGGGGGTAATTTTCATTCCTGGGCTACCATATGGTCTCAAAGACAATGTAACCAATGTTGCGAATTTCAATGTAAAAAAAATGAAATGCAAGCCTTATATTTGGCTCTGTAACTTTTGTAAACACCATAAAACCTGTACATGAGGGGTACTGTGCTGAACACTTTGCTGAACACAAATATTAGTGTTTCAAAACAATAAAACATATCACAACAATATCATCAGTGTAAGTGCCATTTGTGTGTGAAAAATTAAAATAAAATAATTTTCACTGACGATATCATCATTGTAATACATTTTACTGTTTTGAAACACTAATATTTGTATACAGCGAAGTCTTCTGAGTAAATTAGTACACCTATGTACAGGTTTTATGGTGTCTTGGAAAGTTACAGGGTTAAATATAGTGCTAACAAATTAAATTCCCTGGACTTTCGGACTGGGTTGTCAGGCAGGTCCCGCAAATTGTAATTAATAAAATTACCTAATTATGTAAAAATATTACATAAATATATACATAGAATTATTATATAATTTTTTTAAATTATGTTTATTTATATATATATATATATATATAGTGATATATGCGGATATACTTATGTATACTTATGTATATAGATATATATATTATTTTGTTCTATGTGTATTTTGATATCAAAATATATAAATATCAAAATACAGTTAGAATGAAATTACACACATATATATTTTTTTCATTATTTATTTTTATTTTTTATTTATTTACATATTTATTTTATATATAATTATTTAATCAATATCATCATACGTGTATTTTGATATTATATATATATACACACACACACACACACACACACACACATTAATATTAAAATACACTTAGTGTATGTGTATGTGTATATATAGCTCCCTTCTCCTTACAGTGGAGAAGAAGGGAGCTGACGGGCACAGAGGAAAAGGGAGCTGACAGGAGCTGCTGTAAAGGTAAGTAACAGTTCGCTGCCAGCCCCCAGCAGGACTGCCAGGCTTGTATTGATCCAGGCGGTCCTGGTCTGTATTATGGCAATGTAAGTTGCCATAATACAGACATTGACTTGAGTATAAGATGAGTGGAGAGGAGAAGGGAGCTGAGAGGAGCTGCAGGAAAGGTAAGTAACAGCTTCCTGCCAGCTCCCCTTCTACACAGCCCATGCCACTAGACCACCAGGGAATGAGAGCCCCCTCCCTGGCCATGTATCAAGTAGGGAGGGGGAACAAAAAAATATAAATACAAATTTAAATAATATAATAAAATAAAAAAAAATTATAATATTAAAATAAAATAAAAATAATAATATTTAAAAAAATGTTTTATATTAAAATAATAATAATTTTTAAAAATAATAAAATTGCTCACCCCCCCCACCAATGTTACACACTCTGCATAACATACACAAACACACTCTGCATCACATGCACACACTGCACTCATACACACACACACACACTCTGCATCACATACACACACACACACTGCATCACATACACACACACACACTGCATTCATACACACACACACACACTCTGCATTATATATACACACACACTGCATTCATTATATACACAAAATAAATATCCAATTAATGTAATTTTTTGGGGATCTAATTTTATTTAGAAATTTACCAGTAGCTGCTGCATTTCCCAACCTAGTCTTATACTCGAGTCAATAGGTCTTCCCATTTTTGCGGGGTAAAATTAGGGGTCTCGACTTATATTTGGGTCGACTTATACTTGAGTATATACGGGTAGTTAAACTGCAACATTGTGCTTCCATTTTGGCTACTCTGGGCTTAAATATGACATTCACTTTGAATTCTTGAAAATTCCCACTTTAATAAATAACCCTGTACGTGAGCAAAATTAACATACATTCATTACAATTGCTAAAAGTCACTCTTTTTCACTGAGCATTACAGGCTGAGTGCCAAAAGCCCTTTATAGCCACCACTCCAGCCACCTTGGCTATCCACCAAGCCTTGGACATTTAGTCTATCAGTGTCTTATATAAAATAGGAGTGTTAGGTAAGATCATTTTCTCATGGTGCATTATGTTAACATGTTGATATGAGAGCATGCTTGCTTAGGTGGTACTTGCTCTCACATATTTAAAGATATTCTCTCTCTCCCCCTCCTCTATTATACATACTTACAATAAAGAGACACTATGTGTCCTTGTGCTCTCATGTTGTCTATTTTACAAACTTTTTTTTCTACAATTTTAATTTCTGTTATCTCTGTAGCCTGTTATCTCTGTAGCCTGATGGACTTGCTGAGCTTGTTATTATAATGTACCATGTCTTACAGCATGTTTTGTTGACAGTCTAATAGATTCCTCTAATTAAACCAACAAATACCAAAGGTGACATACATTCTTCAATATTCTAGGCCATAGGGCAGGGGTAGGCAAATATCGGCACTCCAGATGCTGTGGACTATAATGAACTTAAAGCAATATTGCTGGCAACACATCAAAGAAGATGCTGTCCATAACATATGGAGTGCTTAAGGTTGCTCTAAGATTATTATCAAAATAGGTTTTACCAAGCAAATAGTTCATTGTCTTTTTAAATAACTAGTAAAGTTTCTTACTATATACCCATTCTTTTTTGTTAAAATTAGTTCTCTATCCAATCTCAGTTTACTTGTTTTCCAAATGCAATAACTATCTATGGTAAACATTAACCGTTTGCATTCATTTTGAATGAACTTCAATTTGGACAAATTTTGGGCAATTTTATCATGTGTAAGAATCAATGAATTAAATGCATTTATAGTGAGAAATTGAGAAACAAATTTCTTATTGGATGAAAAATTGCACTGTCATTTTCAATTGTACGTTCATTCATAATTCGTTTATATAACTACAAGGAGGGAGGTAAAAGCTGCAGCTCTTTGTATTAGCTTATTTGAGAATAGAATAGTAAAGTGTAGCAGGTCTTTATTGTAGTTCAACAGCCTAAACAGAAAATACTTGATCATAATATAACTAAAAGACTAGAAAATGCATATAACAATGCAACTAAATAATTTCAATGATCCATACCATAAAACAAATTAAAAACAAGGATTTACAGGTTACTGGCTTTATACATGATTCATAGAATCACTAACTAAATAATACCCTATGCAAAAGGCTATCAATTTACTTTAAAAAAATAAAAAAAATAAAAAAAAAACACACAATTATCCAACAGCAAAGCTGCAAAATAAACAAAGTGTTTCAAAAGAAGTAAGCTTTGCTGCACCTGAGACCTAAATCAGAAAACCATTATGGGTTAACAACACTGGTATTTAAGATGGATCATAGCAGGACCACCACATTTTTAATACATGTATTTTGGTTGTTTAATATGGAGTGTATTCCCTTTGGGAAAATATCTAATAGAGCGCTTACAGCTTAAAAGACCTTAAGGACATATACCCCTTTTTTCTAGCTAAACAAACAATTTTGAGGAATATCATTTTTTGGAAACATCTAGATTTTATATCCTATTTATTTTATTGTACTTTTGAACTTTTTTTTTTTTACATATATATATATTTTAGAATAACTGTACAAAGGGATATTAAATACATGAAACTTAGTAACACACACAAATGACAGTGTAAAACACCTCTATGGTGGAAAAATAAAAGGAATTATCTCTTTATGAATGCCACTGTAGATCAAACAGAACTCCTCAATGTTCTTAGAAAACTTCACACAAAGACAGAAATCAACATTAGCAGGAAAAAATCAGTACATAGAGTAGCACAGTTTAAATTATCTGCAAGAGAGATAGTTAATGATTGCACTCACTAGATATTTAGGAGTTGGCTGTTAGAGTAGGACCTGCCAAAGATGGGGTACATTGACGTTGAGGCAGGCTTATGCAATGTATGATCCTATAATGTAACTAATCTCCCATTATTTTTTGCCTAGATTAGGTATTTTTTTTAAAAAAAAACTAACAAAATCTGTCAGCAAAAAAGTTGCTGATTAGTAGATAAGGGAGCAAGCTGGATTTTCATTTTTACTGTACTTATTGGCTCCCAGCAGCACCCTATTTATGCATGTTTAGGTGAGTGCAGCCAACCCCTTGTTTTCTCTCTCTCTAGATATATTTGGGAGCCTAGCCAGCTCATTGGTTTTGCACCCCTCCCTGTCACAGGTGCCTCATCCCAGATATTTGGCTGTTAGAGTAGGACCTGCCAAATATGGGGTACATTGACGTAGTTGGCAGTCTTATCAATGTATGATCATATAATGTAACTAAACCCCCATTATTTTTTGCCTAAATTACGTGTTTAAAAAAACAAAAAAATCTGTCCGCACCAAACTTGCTGTTTAGTAGTTAAGGGAGTGCGCTGGATTTTCATTTTTATTATATAATTTTTATTTGATAGTTAGGAGTATCAGGCACTTCATAGGTACTTGATCCCCTTGAAGATTCCTCAGTGTAATATGGAATATATATATGTGGAAAAGGGACACAAAATGGGGTACAGTATATCAAGGGTTAAACAATTTATTAGTAGAAAGCTTACAATCAGGACAATTCATCAATAAGAACGGGAACACTTTGTCACTGGATACAAAGTGCTGGTGTGCAAAAGTTCCTACTATAGAAAGTGCTATTGCAGGCAGTCCTTAGGTAAGTATGTTAAATTCCAAAATGGAAATAAAATGTTATGAACATCTGAGCAGTTTTAGAATGCATACAATCACTACTGTAAGCCTGTTTCACTTTGCTGGCTGTTGTGCTGCATTCAAGTAAGTAAACTGTTTATTTGTATGCTATATATACACCAACCAAATGACACTTTTCATAGTATATTATGATACTTGGGGACCTATATGTTTTTTTTTTTTGGTTTTTTTTTAAATTAAATTGTAGCAAATAGACTTATACTAACTTCACCTAGTCTATTAATGTGAAGATGATTGTTAAAGTATCAATGTATATTAAAGGGCTCCATTCACTGAACAAAGTGCTATTTTGACTGAAAATGCTATCCAAATCACCTGATGGTTTATCAAACTTGGCTAATTTTACTCTAATGCAATTTGGTTATGCAATAATTGTCTGGGTGCCAACTCACACTACCCTTAACCCTGCAACTGTAATTTTTGCAGTTTTTTTAAAACTGCAATGATTACCTTGCAGGGTTAACTCCTCCTCTAGTGGCTGTCTACTAGCCACTGTCTAGTGGCTCCCTCCTCCGTTAGATGCTCACCCAGTCTCCACTCCTTCAAAAAATCGTTAAAAACCCACTTCTTCATAAAAGCGAATCAATTAAACTGTTAATAGCTCCTGACTGATTCCTCTTCTGCAACTGTCACTAGTCTAATACTATCCTTACCTTTTTGTGTCATTTTACCCCACTCCCTCTAGCATGTAAGCTCATTGAGCAGGGCCCTCAACCCCTCTGTTCCTGTGTGTCCAACTTGTCTGGTTACAACTGCATGTCTGTTCGTCCACCCATTGTAAAGCACTGCGGAATTTGATGGTGCTATATAAATATCATAATAATAATAATAATAATAATAACTCATACATAGAGCATATAGTGGACGCAAAAACTGAGGTGGTGTCCTCATATTAACGCATGCATAGAGCACATAGTGGACACATATACTGAGGCTGAGTGTTAAGACCAACTCCTACATAAAACGTGTACACACTGAGGCTGTGCTTCACACTGAGATTATGCACCTTATACCAGCTCATATACAGAAATAATATAGGTAACACATACCTTCCCCCATACCTGAGGCAGTGTGATGAACAAACTATAAAAGTTCTTCACACCAGTTCATTCAGAGGATATCTTGGTCTCATATGCTGATTTAGAGAAGCAGCAAGATCAAAACAATACATTTACTTTTACTCTGAAAAAGCCTATTTATGTGCTACAAAGCACAGATGACAGCAATCACTGCCTCATGCCTTGATAGGAACAAGTCTCTGCATGGACTATGTGTCACGTTTTAAAACCCATGACATATACATTTGTGTAATTCAATCATTCAGTTAGGAAAGCTTTCTCTTACTGTGTCTTCACGTTCTTCAGGAATTTGGTGTTCAGGCAGACTTTATACAGCCAGGATATCATTATCAGCACTCTTTTGTAACATGCATCCTTGCATTATCCGCACTCTTTTGAAACATGCATTATTGCATCATTGCATTTATAAACTTACCTAAATGCTCACCACCGTAGACCTCTTAAATGTGACCAATTTGTTTGAAGAAAGCCTAATGTAAGCAACTGGGAGGAACTGAAATAACAGAAACCCAGATGCCTATGCTAGTTTTTAATTTAAATTACTAATGCACTCACCTGAGGAGGGAAAACTTACTAAACAGACATTGAAACAGATGGACACCTGCAGGCCCCAATTTCAGCGGCAAATTGGGATTTGAACAACTGACAGCCTAAACCGTTTAAACTGTAGGCTTATATCTGTACCCCATATGCCATTCATCATCACAAGTGGGGGAAGGTTTAAACTAAACCCCCGGTTATGGTGGAATACATAGAGGCATGACCTGGTAGTATTCTTATAGTGATTACTGGGTTTTCAGGGAAAATAGGCATAGCCCCAGCTGGGCCTCATGTATGCACTTTCATTTCCTGAGGGAGTTGGATCAAAACCCTGGTCGCTGAAGGAGGTACCCAGGCTGGCAACTTATAGAAATGTGCTGTTGCTGGATCTTCAGGGATTAGAGGCTGAACGCTCGCTGGGCCTCATGTAGGCAGTAGACCACAGTCATCCCCTGAGGGAGAGAGTTGCCTCAGACCCCCCAGACACTACAGGATTTACCCAGACTGGCACCTCATATAGATGTCCTGTTGCTGGCTCTTCAGGGATAAGAGGCTGAGCCCTGGCATGAATGCAATGGACCCCCTGAAGGAGAGATTGGATGCCTAAAGGGGGTACCCAGGTTGGCAAACTCATAAAGATGTGCCATTGCTGGGTCTTCAGGGCTTAGAGGCTGAACCCTGGCAGAGTCTGAAAATGTTGGCCTGCTAGAAGACTGCCTGATGGGTAGGGGAGGATTTATTTATACGAACTTTAGAGTTCTATTTCCTGTCCTGATGAGCTAACCTGTGAGTAAATGATGCCAGGATATAGATTAATTATATATATATATATTCTATATCCAAGTAGTATAGAGATAGCACTCCTAGGACTCAAAACAAGAAGATACTTTTCACTACCTGCACTTTTGTACATTGTTTACACATGGGGAAATATAATTATGGAAGATTTTTGCACAAGCTGGGGGCCTATTAGAACAGGCGGAAACTTTACAATACACAGACGAGGATGCGGAGCGTATTAGATGGCACACGCTAACCTCAGATCTTCCACAAACGACCACACTTAAGGAAATCTATTTGGAACTGATACATCTAAAAAAGAAAGAGACAGATCTAGACCTACATGGACTATTCTTGTCGGACTATCATAGACAACTGCATATCCCAAGGGGATTACGTATTAGAAATATCCCCACCATAGGACGAACCAAACCCAAAGTCTGCAAGAAGTGGATAGCGGTTCTCAATAAATATTCACTTGATCTGATATTAATCATCATAGAGGGTGTAAAGGAAGACCTCATCAAAATAAGACAAAGAATTATGCAATTGGAAACAAGGGAAGCATTATTATTGAC